AAGGGCAGGGCGAGGGCTGGGCCCCCATGGCAGCCCCGCGTCCCTGCAGAGGTGCTGGCCGCCCACAGCGTGTGGGTGCAGCAGATGCGAGCTACACAGTGGCCGAGACTTGGGGGTTGCGATGGTTCTTAGGCACAACACCAGCACCTGCCTGGGAGTGCTCCTACCTGGCCGGGTGGTCAGGCATCGGCGTGACGCGGGGCGCGGGTGCCTGGATCTGCCCCACTCACCCCCCTGGGGGCCCAGGCCAGTCACTGACCTCCCGTCCCCCACTCCCGCCCTCACTCTGACCTTGTGAAGCACCCAGCACAGTGGTTCGTAGTGACAGGTGGCGAATGTAAGGGCCACGGCGTCAGGGGTGGGACTGCCTGACTCGTGGTTGGAGTCCATAACGGGGTCTGTCCCCTTCCCCCCCTGCCACCCCCCTGGGACTGGTTCTCAGACCCCGAGGCCCAGGAAGCACCCCCCTGGCTGCTGCAGCCTCTCTGGAGGTGGGCACCCCGCGTAGGCTCTGGGCCCTGGGTGTGCACCTGCCCCCCCAGCACTGGGCCCCCCATGTTGCCAGGTGGGGTGTGTGGTGCCCCCCGGCTCCCACCCCGAGCCTTGTGTCAGCCAGTGATGCTCACAGCCGCCTGCAGGACCACAAAGGGCCCGGCCGCCTGTGGCCAGGGCAGCTGTGTCCGCGTGGGGTGCTCTGTGGGAGGCGGGGAGCTGCAGCCCTCCAGGCTGGACCTCCAGGCTGGACAGAGACAGCAGCTCTCCCGGGGCAGGGGCGCCGGACACGGACCTGGCAGGAGGCGACCCCGAGCCCCCGGGACAGTGACCAGGGGAAGCCTCAGGAGGCTGAGCCCTTCAGGGACGGGTCCATGCCGGGGGACAGTCTGGAGCCCACAGCGGGGGCCGGGGGGGCCTCTCAGACCCCGGGCTTCACCCCCAGCAGACAGTCCCCAGGCCGCCTCCTCCTCCCATTCAGGGGACCCGCAGGGGTCAGCAGAGACGCTGGGGTGGCATTTGCCAAGCAGGAGCGACGTCCACCCACAGACACAAGCCCACGGGCAGGCATGACGTCCTTTATTGCCCGGCGCTGGCGTGCTTGGGGGCGGGCGGGGCAGAGGGGCCGTCATGCTTGTGGC